GGGTTGTTCAAGATCGTGGACCATCGCCTGGACCCTGAAAGTACGTATAATCATATCATTTTTATAGCTGTTGGGACATTGTTTGACCATCTTCTAAGGGGTATAGGTAGTAGCCAGCCATCAAGAACTTATGATTGCAGAAACCCTAAGCGTGACCATAATTGACGTGTTGGCAGACCAGACTCTCAGGGAAGCCCGAAGCCCTAAAGCCTAGACCCAAGGAATTGTTTGGGGCCGAGAGCTGGGTCGATGGGTCTAGGGCCTCGGGCCTAGGGTTTAGGGTTTAGGGTTTAGGGTTTAAGGTTTAGGGTTTAGGGTTTAGGGTTTAGGGTTTAGGGTTCTGTTGCTTTCAGGGACGTAGATTTCGTTAGATTGTGATTTAGGGTTGGGTGTAGTTCCAGTCAGAGCTGTCTTGATGTCAAGCTCCCATGAACAACTAACAAGGACGCTGCGTAAAGAAAAGGGTTGACACCGAAGCGCTATTTGCGCTTCGGGTTACTTTTCATGGCAGGCCGATCATTCTGGAGAAGACGGTTGAAGTGCCGAAAGTCGTGATCGAGGTGCCGCAGAAGTCTCACGGGAGCCCCAAAACCCTAAACCCTAAACCCTAAAACCCTAAACCCTTAACCCTAAAATCCTATATTTTTGAGTTGTCTCATACTCCTGAGCCCCAAATCCTACAGCTCTTATTTCATACTCCGAAGCCCCAAGATCCTAAATTCTTATCACAGACTCCTAAGCCACAGAGCCGTGAGTCAGCCTAAAGCCCGAAACCCAAACCAGCTAAACCCTAACCAGAAGTAAGCCCCAGACCGAAACGGGTTTAGGGTTTAGGGTTTAGGGGTTTAGGGGTTTAGGGGTTTAGGGGTAAAGGGTTTAGGGGTTGAGGGGTTTTGGGGTTTAGGGTTTAGGGTTTAGGGTTTAGGGTTTAGGCTTCAGGCAAAGTCTAGCAACCCTAAGCCCAACCCCAAACTCCTGAAATAGACTTCGTGGCCTGTGATAACCTCAAGACAAACTGGTGCTGTTTTGGGAACCGGGTCCGGTCCGGCGAGGTTCCCCTAAACCCTAAACCCTAAACCCTAAACCCTAAACCCTAAACCCTAAACCCTAAACCCTAAACCCTAAACCCAACCTCAGAGTGCCGTGATCTAGGGTGGTGTAGGCAGGTTTTCCTGTGGTTCCCTGAACCGTAAACCCTAAACCCTCTGTGGTTCAGGGTGATTTCGGGTGGCTTAGCACACTCTAACCCCTAAGCCCTAAAACCCTCAACCCTCTCTTCGGTGGGATTGTGGGAGCTTCGAGTCAAAGGAGCCAAACAACCGCTTCAATGAGGCCCCTCAACCCCAAACCCCCCAAACCCCTAAACCCCTACACCTAAACCTAAACCAGGATTGCAGCTTGACTCCCAAACATCACCTGAAAAGTATGGAGAAGAACAGTCTTTTATAGGTCTTGGGCCATTCTTTCACCTAATTTTGGGGGGTTTAGGTAGTCCTTAAACTCTCGCCCCGAGCTCTATTTCCCCCCCAGCATGGCTTTCAGGAGACGATTGTCCGAGTCCCGAAGGTCACGCAGATGGTGCAGCATGTGACCGTTCAGGCGCACGCTTTCCACGGTTTAGGATTTAGGGTTTAGGGTTTAGGATTTAGGGTTTAGGGTTTTGGGGTTTAGGGTTTAGGGATCGGTACGACGCCCTGCCGTAAGAAGCGTGATGGCGGTTCGGGCAGTTCCCTAAATTCGGGTCCC